AATTTCAAAATCTTCACTCCAGAAAAAACACACCGTTGCCCATTAAGTAATTACTCCCCATTCCCTCCTCTCCCCCATCCCCTGGTAATGGCTAATCTGCTTTTTGTCTCTGTGGATTTGCCTATTCTGGATATATCATAAAAATGAAATCATATAGTATCTGACCTTTTGTGTCTGGGTTCTTTTACTTAGCATATTGTTTTTGAGCTTTATCCAGATTGAAACATGTATCAGCATACCTCCTTTTTGTAGCTGAATAATATTCCAGAGAGTGTGTGTGTGTGTGTGTGTGTGTGTGTGTATGCCACAATTTATTGCTTTATCCACTGATGGGCATTTGTTTTATTTCCAGTTTTTAGCTATAAAAGACTTAGACTTATAGATGATGCTATAATCATTTGTGTGCAAGTTTTTTGTGCATGTTTTCATTTCTCTCAGGTGTATACCTAAGGAGTGGAATTGCTGATGCTTGTTTTTGACTGTTTCTTGCTTGATAATTTTCTTTAAAATTTTTTTTTTTTAAATTTATTGATTGATTTTTTTAGAGAGAGAGGGAGGGAAAGGGAGAGATCGATTTGTTGCTCCACTCATTTATGCATTCATTGGGTGATTCTTGCATGTGCCCTGACTGGGGATCAAACCTGCAACTGCAATCTAAGAGTATTGGGAGGACGTTCTATCCAACTGAGCTACCTGGCCAGGGCAATAATTTTCTTTTGGTGTGTAGGTTTTTTTTACATTCTTTATTTGAAAATTCCAGTATTATAAATCTTTGGAAATATAAATGTTTTATATCTCTCCTTCATTGAGGCTTGTTTTCTTATGTGCTTGCTGCTCTGATGGACAGTTTGTATTTGATCTTAGTCTGTGGGAATCTTAGGGGCCTAGACTGGGTATTCTTTGCTCCAGAGAAAATTTCTTTTGCTTCTGCTAGTGCCAGGGATTGCCATGTACCTAGGAAAACTTTAGCTCTTTTCCCTAGCCTAATGTGACCGTCTCTGGTTCAAGCCTCCTCACTTTACTGCTGACCGAAGCTCTCCTTTCTGAGCTATCTCAGAGCTTATAATAGTCCTTAGACCTTTTCTTTCACATTTGCTCCCTGCACCCTGTAAATAGACCTTTTCTTTCACATTTGCTCACTGCACCCTGTTCCTGCTCCAATATCAGTTTACTTGTTTGTTTTTCTTTTGAGATTGCTAGGCACCCAGGAAATAGGAACAGTGTGTTAAATTACCTCGTCTACCTGGCCAGCATGCTCAGTGGTTAGAGCATTGGCCTATGCATCGGAGGGTCACGGGCTCGATTCCAGGTCAGGGGCATGTACCTGGGTTACAGGTCCAATCCCGGCTCCTGGTTGGGGTGCCTGTGGGAGGCAGCCTATCAATGTGTCTCTGTCATGTTGATGTTTCTCTCTCCCCGCCCCCCTCCGTTCCACTCTCTCTAAAAAAAATTAATGGAAAAAAATATCTTCATTCCTTGGGTGAGGATTTAAAAAAAAATTACTTCATCTAAGAGAGAGTCATTTTGTTGCAAGGGTTCCCCCCCCCTTTTTTTAAATCCTCATCTGAGGATGTGTTTATTGATTTGTATGTGCCCCATCTGGGGACCATCCGCAACCTAGGTATGTGCCCTGACTGGAATCAAACCTGCAACCTTTTGGTGTATGCGATGACACTCCAACCAACTGAGCCACCCAGCCAGGGCAGGAGGACCCTTTTGAGTAGCTCAGTGAATAAAAGAGATCTTGGTAGATCTTCCAAAGTGGATAAAATGTATGCATTTAGAAATCTGATCAGTTTTTCTTGAGGAAATTTTGATTGGAAATACTTAAGAGCAGTACGTTAGTAAAATGCAAACTTTAAGTAGAGCCGTTGTTTTCTTCTTGGATGTTCCTTATATAAGTGTTGGATATTTTGTGTGTGTGTGGTTTTTAAAATGTTCTCTGGTTGAAAGCACAAGACTAGATCTAAATAACTTATGCCATAAATTTCATAGTGGTGGCTTCATTCTGTATTGAAGTGAAATAAAAGATTGAACAAAAAATAGCCCCTGTTGAAACTGCTGATGAAATGTAAATTGTGAGAAGTAATATAATTACTAATATTTATGGGGTGTTTATATGTGCCAGGCAGTGTTCTAAATGTTTATATGTTAGCCCGGCCGGGCATGGCTCAGTGGTTGAGCATCGACCTAGGATCCAGGAGACCGAGGTTTGATTCCCGGTCAGGGTACATGCCTGGGTTACGGGCTCAATCCCCAGTCAGGGGCGTGCAGGAGGCAGCTGATCAATGACTCTCTCATCATTGATGTATCTCTCTCTCTCTCTCTCTCCTTCCTCCCCTCTCCTTTCCTTTCTCTGAGATCAATAAAGATATATTAAAAATAAATAAATAAATAAATAAATAAATAAATAAATAAATAAATAAATGTTTATATGTTAAATTCTTACAATGTTCTATGAAATAGGTGTCATTATTGTCCCCATTTTGTAAATAAGTTAAAAGGCACAGGAAAGGCACGTCTACTTTTCTGAAGTCACAAAGTTAGTACATGATGAAGCTAGGATACAGACCCAGGCAGTCTGACTTCAGAGTCCATATGATTAAATATTATGCTTTACTATAGTAAAAGAGAAAGTTTAGAAGTAGTAGTTACTGGTAGATTTAAATGGATAGTTCCAAATGGTTTTCTTAATTTTTGAGAAATGTAGGATACCAGTTGACCTATTTTAGTAACTTATGCTAGATATTTTGTTTTTTCTGATTTCATTTATATTTTATTTATCAGCTGTTTTAAGGGAATATATTCCATCTAAAAATAATTCTTTTTTATTTTTATTTTATATATCTTTATTGATTTCAGAGAGAGGAAAGGAGAGGGAGAGAGAGAGAGAAACATCAATGATGAGAGAGTCATTGATCGAGCCGGCAACCCGGGCATGTGCCCTGACCAGGAATCGAACCCCAATCGCCTGGATCCCAGTCGACGCTCAACTGCTGNCAATCGCCTGGATCCCAGTCGACGCTCAACTGCTGAGCCATGCCTGGCCGGGCTAAAAATAATTCTTTTTTTTTTTTAATATATTTTTATGGATTTCAGAGAGAGGAAAGGAGAGGGAGAGAGACAGATAGAAACATCAATGATGAGAGAGTCATTGATCGGCTGCGGCCCGCAACCCGGGCATGTGCCCTGACCAGGAATTGAACCCTGATCGCCTGGATCCCAGGTCGACGCTCAACTGCTGAGCCACGCCTGGCTGGGCTAAAAATAATTCTTATAAAACTGAACTGTACCCTTTTCTTCATTTTATCACCTTTTTAAAAACTATTTTAACAGCTTTATTGATATGTATTTTATATTTCATAAAATTCTCCCATTTCAAGTATACAATTTAGTGGTTTTTAGTAATTTTTTTTATTAATATGTCTTTCTTGATTTCAGAGAGAGGAAGGAAGAGGGAGAGATAGAAACATTAATGATGAGAGAGTCATTGATTGGCTGCCCCCTGCAAGTCCCCCACTGGGGGTCGAGCCCACAACCAGGGCATATGCCCTCACTGGGAATCGAACCGCAATATCCTGGATCATAGGTTGATGCTCAACTGCTAAGCTACGCCGGCTGGGAGGTTTTTAGTAATTTATTTGAATAATCCAACCTTTACTATAAATCAGGTTTAGAACATTTTCATCTCCCCAGTAAGATCCCTTTTGCTTTTTTATAGGAAACCCTATTCTCACCTCCAACCTCAGGCAACCACTAATCTATTTTGTCTTTAAAAATTTGTCTTTTCTAGACATGTTATATATGTAAATGAAATCTTATAATATGTTGTTTTTTGTGTCAGGCTTCTTTCTCTTACCATAATAATTTTAGGTTCATCCATGACAGCATGTTTCAATATTTTATTACCTTTTATTACCAAATAGTTTTCCATTGCATAGATATACCACACTTTATGTATTCACCTCTTCTGTTTTTCAAAACATAAAATATTTGTAGAATAGATGAGATACTTGCCCACTTTGCTGTATAGTATAATGGTGACGCAACATCTCTTTAAGAAGTTCATCTATTAATATTTATATGCATATATGCACAACCCAAGGACACGGACAATGGTGGGGAGAGGGACTGGGGAGGGGGAAGGGACAGGGTGGAATGGGTCATTGGGGAGAAAAAGGGACATCTGTAATATTTTAAACAAAAATAAAAATTTTTTAAAAAAGTTCATCTATTAATTATGCTTTGGAGTAATACAGTGAGGATTTCACTGTTTGAATTATGAGTATTCATAAGGGCTGTTGTTCTTTAACTAAATGGACCTAGACTATTAAACTTAAGTTCTTGTTTCTGCATGTTATAGTTTTTTCTTCTGTGTTGTTGTGGCAGTGTGCCTGCCTCTAGCAGCTTCCTTCTAATGTTTTATAGTATACAGGCCCTTACTGAATACCAGGGTTAATTCCCATGAATAAAATTTGAACAAAGTGTGAACATTGTGGCATTCATTTTGGTCACTTGAAGACCCATTTGTGCCTTTCCTATTCTTGAAGCTGTTTTCCAGGCCCCAGCATAAGAAATATGTTACTGGTTTTTCTGTTTTCAGAATCTTTTTATTAATCCTTCTGCTAGTGATCAGTGCTTTTTTAAAAATAAGGTATTTGGAATACAAAAATGGCTAAAATAATTAGATTTGTATTAGAATTAAGCAGACATATATTTCAAGGAAGACAGAAGTAGCCCAAGAATGATATACCTTGACTAATTAACATTTCTTACACATAAGCATTTGCACAAAATTTTGGTAAAATTTTTCTTATTTCAATCCTATGAACGTTTATCACATTTTCCTTTTAAATGTCATGTTGGAATTCAACTAAGTTCTAGTATGTTCTTTATTAGAAAGATTTAATAAAAGACTTTTCTTACAGAGCGTGTTTAGAAAAAAACATGAATACCACTTTTGAAACTCATTTTTTGTCTAAATTTTATTGATGGTAAAGGTGCTTCACAGAATGATGATGGCTCCAGACCGAAGGAGGAAACAAGGTAAGATTTTATTTACTGTTTATCAAGAATGCAGAAAGAGACAAGTGAAAATGAATATTCATTTTAGTAAAAATTTCAAGTTTGGATTGATATAAGAATAAATGGCTCAAAAAATTCAGGCTCAAGGTAAGAGAGGAAATATTTATGAAAGATTCAAGACTCTTAGCTTATCTGACTGCAGTTCCTTGGAGTAGGACAGGATACCCAGATTACTCATACTTCCTTCAGCTTGTAGAAAGTTAATATATTGGCATTTTTTCAAAGGCAGGGAGTTCAGAATCCCAGGGCCATCAGTAGGCTGTTAAATTTATTTTCTAGGAAAGCTAAGACACAAGCATTGGGTACATATGAAGGTCACCACTAGCTGTAGCATCTTCTGGGCCTTCAGTAAAAGGGGGCAGAGATTTGAACCAGATGTTTGTTCTTAGCCTAGATTCAGTGCTTTCATGTGCCCATCTGCCTTTAGTCTAAGGCCTGAAAGTATTGAATGTCTGGGTTGTGTTAACTTGACTTAACAGACCTTAAGTGTTTATTGGTTTTCCTGGAAACTAGCAATGGGAGATAAATTAGGAAAAGAGATGATCCTACTTTTAAAGGTACATTGGAGTTTGTTGTACTTGTCTATTTACTCTTTTAAAAATATTTTTGTTGCTTTTTAGAGAGAGAGGCGGGGGGAGAGAAACATCAGTGTGAGAGAATGACACTGATCAGCTGCCTCCTGCATGATCCCCTACTGGGGAATGAGCCCAAAACCTTGGCATGGGCCCTGACTAGGAATCAAACTGGCAACCTTGGTGCATGGGACAAAGCCCAACCAACTGAGCCACACCGTCCAGTACTCTATTTACTTTTGTGATGTATGAAAATTTCATAATAAAAAGTTTAGAAGAGAATTCATTAAGATCTTTAGGAAAATGAAAGTTAATAAAGCTGTTGTGTTTTACCTAATGGGGATCCGCCTTCACAGAGTCACTCCTGTGACAAAGAATCATCTCCTAATTCCAAAAGTAGTGTAGAATATTAAGGGGTAGTAACTTCTTGGCCAGGAAAAATATTTTATTTCTCACTGTGAGTAAAAAGCAGTGGAATAGTTTTTTATTTTTATTTTTTTAAAATATATCTTTATTGATCTTAGAGAGAGGAAAGGAAAGGGAGGGAGAGAGATAGAAACATCAATGATGAGAGAGTCTTTGATCCAGCCCACAACCCAGGCATGTGCCCTGACTGGGAACCGAACCCGGATTGCCTGGATCCCAGGTCAACACTCAACTGCTGAGCCACGCCCGGCCGGGCTAGAATAGTTTTTAAAAATTACATAAATGTCTCTGTAGATTAGAAGACAACTTATGCCTCTTTTTATTTTTTTTAATTTATTTTTTAAAAATATATCTTTATTGATTTCAGAGCGAGGAAAGGAGAGGGAGAGAGAGAGAGACAGATACATCAATGATGAGAGAGCCATTGATCAAGCCCACAACCGGGCATGTGCCCTGACCAAGAATCGAACCCTGATCACCTGGATCCCAGGTCGACGCTCAACCGCTGAGCCATGTCCGGCCGGGCTATGCCTCTTTTTAATTTTATGTTTAATGGAAGATTTTTTTTTTTTTAATCCTCACCCAAAGGTATTTTTTCCATTGCTTTTCAGAGAGAGTGGAAGGGAGAGAGAGAGAGAGAGACATCAATGTGAGAGAGAGACACATTTATTGGTTGCTTCCGGCATGTGCCCCCACAGGCACTGCGGATTAAGCCTGCCACCAAGGTACATGCCCTTGACCAGAATCAAACCTGAGACCATTCAATCCGCATGTTGACTCTCTAACCACTGAGCCAAACCAGTTAGGGCAATAGAAGATTTCTTGAATTCCTGAAATGTTCCACATAAAAATGTTTTAATATTTCAATTTGCTTTTGTTAATTAACTCCTCTTTTGTATAATAAACCTGTATTTTTGCATTAATAAATGAGAATATGCTGTAATTTTATATGCCCATTGACAGGTTCTGTTATGCCACTCTGTTGTTTCTTTTTTGCAAATCTCTTATAATACTTTTATGAAACCACTCTAGACAACTATAAATTTCTTGCAAAGGCATTGCTGTAGCCCTAGCTTCATGTCATTTATTTAATCCAGGGATGAGGAACCTATTTTCTGCCAAGGGCCATTTGGAATTTATAACATCATTCATGGGCCAAACAAAATTATCAACTTAAAAATTAGCTATGAAAAAAGCTTCTAGATTTATTGAATTTTGAGTCCTGCCTGCAGTTGCCTTGGCAGGGCCAGACCAAATGATTTTGAGGGCCAGACATTCCCTGGCGCTGATAATCCATGCTTTACATCTTCCCAAGTGAATCAGTTATAAGTAATCTGAGGAACAGTGTCTTCTAGGTTTCTAAGACTGCCAGACTAGTCTTTGTGCATGTCTTTTGTGTTAAGCATGAATTCTTTTGCATTAGGTTGTGTTTTTTTTGTTTTTTAAAAAATATGTATCTTTATTGATTTCAGAGAGAGGAAAGGAAAGGGGGAGAGAGATAGAAACATCAATGATGAGAGAAACATTGATTGGCTGCCTCCTACACGCCCCCCGTGGGGATTGAGCCTGCTACCCGCGCACGTTCCCTCACTGGGAATCAAACTGTGATCTCCTGGATTATAGGTCGATGCTCAATTGTTGAGCCATGTTGGCTGTGCCCTTTACATTAGCTTTTATTTCAGAGTGTATCTCTGAGATGATTGGTTTGAAAAGCATTTTGTAAACTGTCAAGTGCTGTTTAAGTGTTACTACACAACAGTCCTGGCCATGACTGGCTTTTCCCCTTTGGTTTTATTTACAGACTTAATAACTAGACGACTAAAAAGCAGGGCACTATATATCCAGTGAACAATGGCTTCTGCTCCTCCCTGCCCCAGCTATCATTTAAGAAGTTTTCTAAACAGCTTTAGGTTGTTTACCATTTTGTCCCAATTCAAGCACTGTAGGTATTGTGAATATAATCTTGGTCTGCTTTCTCCCATAACATGTCTGGATGTTTTATATCTCTCAGTGTTGTCTTCTGTCATTTTTATGACGTACCAAGATGCTTGGTGCTTGGTGTTTAAGATGTTGTTAGAAGTGCCTTCTTGACTTTTTTATTTGTATCCTTTTTTTTTTTTTTTTAAACTTAGAGGAAGGAAGGGAAGGAAGGAAGAAAAAAAAAAGAGCAAGGAAGGAAGGTAGGTGGGTAGACAGTTATGAAAGAGACATCCATTAGTTGCCTCCTGTACATGCCCCGATCAGAGATCGAACTGCAATCTAGGTATGTGCTTTGACCAGGAATCGAACCCGAAACTTTTTCATGTATTGGATGACACTCCAACCAACTGAGCCACCTGGCCACAGCAGTAGCTAATTTCTTTTAAAGACAGTAGTGTGATGAATTCACACTGACAGTTCTATATAGTATATTGGTTTCCCAAATCCCATGTCAGGTTTGAGTTTCATACTTATTAAAGGAACTAAAATAAACCAGTGCTATTTTAGTTTAGGCATGTTTCTGAAACTTCACAGTACATTAGAATCATCTGGAGGACTTGTCTAACCATAGATGGCTAAGGCTCATCTTCAGTTTTTGATTTGTTACATCTAGGTTGGAGCCCAAGATTTTCTTTTTTTTTTTAAATATGGTTTTATAGAGAGGA